GGGTTTTTTTTTTTTTTTTTTTTTTCTGGCTTAAAGTGACGGCATTGCGATTCATTGTTTATTGCAGATCCAGATAGGCCCAAAAATGACAAGGCTACCATCCTTACAGACACTATTCAAATGCTGAAGGATTTAACTGCCGAAGTCAATAGATTAAAAGCTGACTATGAAGCTCTTTCTGAAGAATCACGCGAGGTTGATATTTAATTCTTTTGCAATTTTCACTTCATAAGGTTTAGAACCCACTTTGTGCTCATCTCATCTAGTATTCCACAGTTAACACAGGAAAAGAATGAGCTTAGAGAAGAGAAGGCTTCATTAAAATCAGACATCGAAAATCTAAATGCTCAGTATCAGCAAAGATTGAGGGTCATGTTTCCCTGGGCTACCATGGATCCTTCGGTGGTCATGGGGCCCCCATATTCATACCCAGTTCCTGTTCCCGTTCCCCCTGGACCAATTCCCATGCATCCATCATTGCAGCCCTTCACCTTCTTTGGAAGTCAGAATCCGGGTGCTATTCCTAACCCCTGTTCTACATTTGTCCCGTATACTGCTGCTGCCAATCATCCGATTGAACAGCCCTCTGCCCAATATGCTTCCAATTCACACATCTCTAGCAAACAAGATTCCAGAAGTAAATCATCAGATCATCCTAAGCGTAGCAATGTGGAAAGGTGCGACGAATCTAATGATGTAGCAACGGACCTTGAACTTAAGATGCCTGGATCTTCAACACAACAGGTGAGTTTATTGCTTTTTAAACCACCACATAGTATTTGTAAATCAAGTAAGATCCATCATTATTGAATATGTTTTCAGGATGCATCCTCTGCAAGTAAGAAAGGTAAGCAGTCACAGAGGAAAGAAAAAAGTGTTACAGATTGTAGTTCTTCAAGTAGATTTTCTTCGTCCCAAGTTCTACAAGATAGCTCCTCTAACAGCGTTGGCGACATTCCGAAACAGAACAACTGAATTCAAGATTACTAACCTCATCAAAGGATTAAATTCAAGGTTGTTTCTTCCTTCTCCAGTCAAATATTGAATTCAGGAATTTAGGATCAGAGCTTTAGCTATAGCTTGAAGTTCCTCTTCAAAATATGAGCAGTCATTCCTCATTCAGTAACTATGTGTCCTAACTAAGGCTATTGTATCAATCATGAGGTGCGAGATATTGCGGCTGTCATCGACATCTAATTTAACGAGGCTTACCATATTTTGAAATAATATTGTTATAGGCTTGACATTGACAGACTTTGTCCAGCGCAGACCCTGCATTTAGGGAGTAGTTCAATGGAATATTTGCTTGTAAATAATTATCCATGTGTTATGCTCTTGTAATAAGACTCTACATAGGCCATTCATGTCGA